TTCTTTCTTTCTTTCTTTCTTTCTTTCTTTCTTTCTTTCTTTCTTTCCCTTTTATTTCAACAGAATCTGATTATGTAACCTATCTGGCTTCCAAATCTTCTCTGTAGCCTAGAATGACATTCAATTCACAATCCACCTGTCTCAACCTCCTAAGAGTTAGGATTACAAATGTATGCCTCCATGCCCAACTACTCAGTTTGATGCAAGTTCACTTTGGAATTTTTACAGTATACCATTCCTAGATAATTTCCATAAGAAAAAATCAGGTCTAGGATAGGAAGCTGAATCTCTTACTTTACTCCAGTTTCCAACAATCCAGTATGCAGGGCTGTGGTCCTTCATAAGCTGTTTATAGTTGGAAACATTTAGCAAAAATCCCTCAGCAATCAGAATGGATGCGTCTTCCTCAGTCAGGACAGGCCCAGAGCTTTGGGTTGGATTTGTATTGTTTGGTAATGCCAAGTGGTCACGATTTTTCAACTTCTCTGAGGGTGCTGGCTGATGGTCTCCTCCAAGAAGAAGTGGAATGTTCCTTGATTTTTCAGTGATCATCCCCTCAGCGCTGGGTGTCTCATTGTTAAAGGACCATGCAGGCAGTGAGCCTTCCATCACTGTGCTGAAGGGAGGCCACAAAGACTCTTCTTCCACATAAGATGTTGGTGGAGGTCCAAGCGGTATTTCTGCGTTCCTCTCCATGGGGGCATCATGTTCAGGCACTGTGATTTTTTTCCAAATCACAGGGTTGTTCTCATCTTTCTTTGTAGGCTGGTCACCGTCTTCCCCTGAGCCACTATGAATCTCCACTTCTGGATCTGTGTTATAAAATGGAGTTACCTGCCAAGTCACAGCACTGCTAGATGATAAGCCAGCATCACTTGTTGTGGCTGCCCAAAAGTCACCCTCTGTAGTAGGACCAATAGCTGAACTGGAAACATTTTCATCATCAGGCTGGATACTCGAAGACCATGAAGTAAAGAGGGGCTGGGAAGTGCTTCCGGAGGAAGTAAGGTAGTGGGAGTCCTCTTTGGCCTGGGTTGAACTACTCTGCCATCCTATCCCACCTGGTTCTTCAGATGCTACGGTGGAGCCAAGGTTGTCGATTGCTGGAGTGCTTGTGCTCACAGACTCGGGCATTGTGGTTGTGGGCCAGGATGTAGGTGCTGGGACGGGTTTGAAGGGGTCATGTTCTGATGTTGGTTGGTTTTTCCCACTAGGAACTATAGCTTTATTGGGTTTCAGAAGTCTACGGCTAGATGGGCACTGCTGGAGGCCACATAGAGCTCTACTGTTGGGTTTCCGTGTCTTGTCACAAGGTTCGTTATGGTTCTTGGCACATGTGACACTGCGAATCCGGACTCCGCCACCACAGGAAACAGAGCACTGGAAAAGAGAGACAGCTGTTAGTTTAGTGGGAAAAAGATGACTTGGTCATGGTCAGGCCCAGTGGTCATTGAACCATACAGTGAATGCTTTCTCTCCATTTGGTTTCTATGTTTTTAGTTTTCCACTGTCTCCTGGTGAGCAGTCAGGGCCCAGGACCAATCTGAACAAAAATAATAACACAGTCAAACTGGAGGCTTTTGGGTCTTAAAAACTGTGCATTCCCATCTACAAGGAAGGCAATGTCTTAAATCACTCACCCATCACTCTTCTCTTCAGGAGGAGGAAGAGGAGGAGGAAAAGAGGCAAAGAAAGCAGAGAAAGAAAAGAAAAATGAAATAGCTTCCTCGCCCAACTCAGCACCCCCAACCCACAGCCCTTCCTTAGGGCTGGGATGCTATTAAATTAACACAAAAATGTTCCCAGGCTCTCACTGGTGTGCTAAACTAGTTATATTGAAGCTTTTCTGTTTAGAAAATAATTATTAGAATTCATGTATTTTCTCCCAGGTGTCACAGTCATTTATCTATGGCAGGTAGAATTACATTAAAAACTAAATACTCACCATGATCAAATATACTTAAGATCTAATTTTTTTCTTAACTTGAAAGATAAGAAGCTAATGAAGGTAGAAAGTACCCTTTCTCAAAAAAATTAGGTCCTTCTACTGGCATGACACTAATATGCATTCTGGGAAAGTGGTATGTCTCTCATCCTAATTTTCTTTTTCATTCTGGAAGGTTTGCTTAAGAACAGGCATCTAGACTGCCTTTGTGGGGCATCCTGATAGGGTACTTCATCTTCTGAGTTTATTGTTAAACCTGTTTTATCCAGCTGTATGCTTATTAATCATACATAGGTGCTATGTAACACAGTATAATGTAACACAATAAAATCAGTGATTTTCAAAAGTCCATTCTTTTATCCAACTGTCCAAATTTTTCTTTTCCTTATAACATGTTAATTCAAGCAACAAGTAGCTGTCACTGGAACATGAACCACTCATATCCCTTTGCTGTCCATTTTATATTGATGCATATTCTCTATCTTGTATCATTGATATCAAAGCAGGTTTCTTCAGGATATGCCTGAATAATACCTTTTAGATTTTATAGGGCCTCATAGCCATCATTCTGTGTGATATTTGCAAATTCTCTGCAAGATTTATGAGGGATGATTATTCCACCCTCAACAAGAGAGGAGCTGAAGGCCCCAGGGCTCACTTGAAAGGCTGCAAGTCAGACTTATTCAGCGTGCTTTCTTCTCCACCAAAGCCTAGTGCAACACAGACACATGCATGTTCTTTAGTGAGTGGCCCAGTGGTTTTGATTTTAGAAGAGTAGCCCAAAAGGAGGGCCTCTTTCTCATTCATAATTACATGCCAGGAAAATTCTTACAATATTTGATCACTGTATATATTTGCTAAGTGACTCTTTTATTTTTTGGAAAAATAAAATGAAGACCGGAATGGGGAAACTGGTACTTATAAGTGTATGCATTTTTTAGCTTGCTTCCTCAAGTCTTATTGGTGTAAACATCTCTTCCTTTATTTTATTTCAGTCAAGCACAATCACCCAGGGATTCATAACAGCTCTGTGAAATCAGTGCCTTTGAAAACAAAAAGCACCATTGACTGCAGGGGACTGTAGAGCCGAGGCAGCAGGCAAGTACAGACTGGGGTTCAGGGTGATGCTAGTAAAGCATTCTGATGCCCTGTCATAGGACCGGCCAGTAGTTACAGGGCTAATCCTCGGTGGGAACTGTGCATTACCCACCAGGAAACACATGCTGTTTCCCACCAAAGGTGAGGCTGTCTCTTAGGAAAGGTTATCTTGTGGTGCTTTTGTGGTTTCTTCTACTACTCACCTGGAGCCTAAAAAGAGCAAGATGGGAGAATTTATTTTTCTGCTTTGTCTCAGATTTCTGCTACTTTTGAGTATGAAGACACTTCATGGCCCATTCAGTTTAGTCATCTCTCATTACATTAGATTTTCAAATCTTCAGACTGTAAACATGTATAAATGCAACAAAGTAATTCTCACTGTGTGCCTGATTACATTTTCCCACAGGTTGGCTTTAAGGACTCAGTGGCTGGCTCTTTGATCACTTCTCCCTGAGGTGGGGGACAACCTTACAAAAGACACTACAAAAGACTGCAAAAGACAGTCCTGATGAGACCTGATAGGCTAGGGTCAGATGGAAGGGGAGGAGGTCCTCTCCATCAATGGACTTGGAGAGGGGCATGCAAGGAGATGAGGGAGGGAGGGAGGAAGGGCAGGATTGGGAGGGGACAAGGGTGGGGACTATATCTGGATACAAAGTGAATAAATTGTAACAAATAAAAAATTATATTAAAAAAGAATGGATTTGCAAACAAGGCTAAAGCCAACTGATCTCTTGAGCATGTGGCCCTTCTCCCAATTTTCTCTCCAAGAAGCATCAGACTACAAAGCAACATAAGGGGATTATTCTGTTTCCCCCAAGCTTCTGTGTTGCTTTGACTTGTAGGATTTCTAATGTCTGTGGGGATATAAAAGTGCACAATATATTTCAATTTGTCTTAATTACAAAGCTTTGAAGTATGTGCTCTGTGTTTCTACCATATTGAATTATGGAAAAAGAGAAATAACTACAAAACCCATGAGAAATAGCTTAAGTCCTTCAATCTGTCAATCTGTCATTTAATTCCTGTGATTAAATCTTAGCTAACTCCTCTGGAGATTGAGCAAAATTTATGCCAAATTTTTAAGGCTACAGTGAGGACTGTGAGTACAGTGACAAAGATACATTCAAAACAAAGGGCATCACACCCCCCCACATATACACACACACATCAATATTTATGGTCTGAGCACATGCATAATATACACAAAGCAACTGGTCTTTAGAAGCCATTGTTATTCCTATAAAATAATGATGCCTATGATAATGTTGATAATGACAATGACAGTCAGCATGGAAGAGGGTGCCCCAATTTCTACTGTCCTTTTCAATTAGGGTACACAAAACTGTCTTATCAGGGCAGTTGTGGGTAGACTAGACCCAGAGACTTCTCTAGACTATCAAAATACTATTGTACTCTTCTGATTTACTGCTGCACGGCATGGTTTTTGGCTCAGGTACCCTGGGACAACTGAAGGAGCTGCAATCTTATTGTGTTTCAAGATATGTTTCTAGTGTGTGTGTGTGAGTGTGTGTGTGTGTGTGTGTGTGTGTGTGTGTGTGTGCTGCACATGTATAGGTACCTGCAGAGGCTAAAAGAGAGTAAGTACCAGCTCCTCTGCAGCTGGTGTAACAGGCAGTTATAAGCCAGCCAACTTGGGTGCTAGGAACCAAACTCATGTTCTTTGAAAGAATGGGGAACAATCTGAACCATCTTTTTAGCTCTGGACATGTGACTCTTTAACTTAAAGATTTCAATGATCTTATGAACTGGGAATTTGGTAAGCACACAGCACAAAACAAAAGTTACTAATAGCCATGGAGTGGTTTCTTGAGTTGAAGTATTTAGGTTTTGGTATTTAAAAACAGGAGATTTTTCTCAAGTAGCACTTCCAAATTGGCCTCCCAAGGACTAAATTTGACCTACAAAGGTGGATTCTTTGGTTTACTCCATCTCAAAACATCAAAATCAATATGTAAAAAACAGAAGTGTGGCAAATGTTTTTAATAGCTAAACATTTTGTGTTAATAAGATTCTGGATGTTTGGCTTTGCTTGAAACGTCAGATGATCATCACCCACTGGTCTTATTCCCAATGGCAGCTCAAAGCTTCAGTCTTGGAAACCAGGTTTGAGATGGGCACATATGTTCTCTGGCATACCCATATGCACTTTCCTTTCCCGGGAGACACCCACTCTTCCAAGCGGCATGCAGTGGCCACTTCTTAGACATCCTTAGCACCGGGCATCTTGTGCCAACAGGATCATGCTGTCTACTGACTACAATGATTCCAAACAGGAAGTTGCCTTTTCTCACTGTTGCCAGAAAAACAGTTCCTCTTTGTATTCAGCCTGGGAACTCCTTAAACTGTGTTTATCTCCTCAGGAGCTGTCAAGCCCTTCAGATGAGATAAATGCAGCTGCATGACACATACTTAAAGCCCATCAGGACTGGTACCTTTGGAATTCTTCAGCTTTGATTATCATATGCCCTGACCTTATAATTTTGAACTCTGTACCAGGCAAGCAGCTTGCTATTCATTCTATTTGTGTCCTCTCTGGGAGTTACCTTGCCCTCCCCAGCTACTACCCCTGGATTAAAGCTTCTGGGCAAAGCCTGCTGAGAAAGAGCCTGCTGCTAAATTGGTCAGCTCCACCCACCTGAGGTGCACAGGGACAAGAGGAGCTCACTGTTGGCACAGAGATCGGGAGCTGAGTGAGTCCATTCAAAAGCACAGCAGGAACTTATCAGAGGTTTGGGACTAAAGGGGCTTAGTGAGAAGCTGCTAATATTTTGAGCATAAAACATTTCTATATGGCTCAGGAATTTATAAATAAATTAGTGGGCTCCGTACCAAAAATTGTTTGACATAGCTAAAACATGGCCTGTTGGAAACTGAAATGGGTCCCCTCTCCTCTCCAAAGGTAGATACATCAGAGTCCAAATGACTTCTATCTCAGAATGTGATCCAACTTAGAGACAGTTCTTTTAGATGGAAATCAACTTACAACCAGGTCTTTAGAGTGGGTGCTAACCCTGCATGATCAGTAATCTTAGAAAAGGGGAGATTTTGGACAAAGAAACACTTTGTAGGAAGAATACCATGGGATCATGGTGGTGCAAATACAAGTCAAGGGACTCCAAGGCACGGGAATAAACATCAGTGCCGAGAAAATGCATGTGACATCATGCAGGAACTCCTGCACACTGAAGGAGAAGCATGGAGGGAAAGGAGACTTCTCAGAGGCTTACCTCTAGTATTCTCAGTTAGGGGCTCAGGTACACCTCCTACCATAAGGAGGGAAAAGGAGGCATGAGGTCATTCTCCCTCACAGAAC